TCATGTCGATCATAAAATGAAGTTTACACATGATTTAGGAAAAATGATTTATTTTTATAATGCATTATAGGATATATAAAATATCTTCCAATGCATGGTCATTTGATCCTCACATGCTATAAGGTGGAGAGAAGGTGCTAGAATACATATTTTTACCTGAGGAAACACAAAACTATGGGGTTAATATGAATAAGTATCAATTTCTTTCAGCAGTACATGCTATGTTGAATATTAACATGGTTATGCTGCACACTAGTGAAGAGTGTTGGTTGATTCTGTGGTTAGTTAGGTTAGTTTCAAAGCTTGACTCATCATTGTTTATTGTGTAATCTTAAAAAAAAGTTACTAAAACTCTCTTTGGTTTCCTCATCTGTACAATAAATAACAAATACCATTATTATTAATTATTCATAGAATTGCTAAGATAGCCAAGGAAAAAAAATTACATGTAAAACACTCAAAATGGTGTTTAGCATGTGTCACTCAGTATGTTCACTAGTCAACTTTAACCTTGAAACAACAAAGTATGGTAGAAATAAAATCCAGCCAAATATTCCTGGAGAGCTACCAATCTGCCAGACATTCTTTTCCATGTCTTGTTTCTACACTGTTTTGATTTTACTGTATTTCACTCCCATTCAATTTAGTAAATATACCTGTCAGAGGCATCTACTGAAAGTAGAAATCTTAAGCCCCTCTCTGCTAAGATATTAAAATATTCTCCTCTCAATAAACTATAAATTCCTTTGGATGGCATTCCATGCACTCAGAAATCATGATGTAAACTCAAACTTACTCTTTTAACTACACTTAGTATTACTCTTTCTGTCTATGCTCCAACCAATTTAAGCAAATGATCTTCCAAGACTACATCTGCTTTAGTTAGTCCAGGTGGAAATTTCTCCCTGCACTACCATTTGACAATTGTCTCAATCCACAAAGCCTCTCTTTATCTTCTTAAAAAGATGCCTATATTCTTGATTATAAAATTTCATGTTTCATAATTGTTTTATAAAACATGTTTTATAAAACATACCTAAAGTTCTTGATCATAAAACATCATGTCTATTGTATTATCTTAGCATTTGAATTTTTTTATCTTCCATGGGAGATGATGGAGGAGGTAACCTGGGATGTGTAATCGGTTTTTCAAGATGGGCAACATAGCGCATAATGTTGGGCTTAATTTTCCTTATACAGGTCCTGCAAGCAGTCTGCCTTCTACAAGGCTCTGTCATTGTGTTCCTTCCTAGACTCTTCCTTCATTTTACCCTCAAAGTATGTAGGAAGAAGATTGGGAGGCAGATTGTGCAGGTTCAACAAAGCCTAGCTATATTGATATCACACTCAATGGGGAAGTGAATAAAGAGTACAAATTTGATAATGTGATATAAAAAGAATGTTTTATTTTAAATAATTTATACATTATGTGTTCTGGTCATTTTTAAGTTTTGTGTCAGTATCTGTGACTATTAAGAGAGGGCACAAAAACAATTTTTCAAAGAACAAACCACTGTAAAATAGCATGCCTCAGAGGTTGGAAGGATGGGAGAAGTTGGGAACAAAAAAGAACATGTGGACTGCGCAGTAGTTACGGATAGAAAGGAGAAGTTTAACTCTATGATCATACTGTTTCAGGAATAAGAACATACTGCTTCTGGAAATCAACTCAAGCAAATACACAAGTCTAAAGCAGGTTGAGTTTATTTTTCCTACCTCTGAGGAACTAGAGGCATGTTAAGAGAGCTTTTACCTCTGTAAAAATACACAGGAAAGTACAGAACCAGAGGCTACGAGAAATTGATGAGTTTTTATAATTGTTGGACATCAGTCACCTACGGTTGTTATTTTTATTACCCTGTTTGATTTGTTTTGATGATATAATTCAGAGAAATTTGTTTTAATAACATGAAAACAAGTTTATTAATAAAATGAATCATGATAATTCTAAATTAACAAAGGGCCTCGGATTTATTTAATGGGATTTTGTATAAAAACATGTCTGGCTATTTTAACAATATATTTTTATTTTGTTACTTTATTAAACCTTTAAGATGGGCATGGGCAATATTACGTAAATGCTTAAGAGACTGATAGTTAACTCAAGACCTGTTTATTTTGTTGTTGGGTCTATTTTACAATTTCTTGCCTGGATCCTTTGTACTAGACTGTGACAGACAGAAATGAACCCACGGAGAAAAAAGTGCACAGAGGAAAATGGCACCAAAGCTAATTCTCCTTGGTGCAATTAGACAAACCCCTAACTCACTTTTCAGCACATATTTATTTAGAATTCAGAGATTTAAAAAATGTTTATTTGATTCCCTTCAGAGAGGGAATCTGACATGACTCATTTTCATCACAGAGATATACAAACTTCATAAGATGTTATTATTTCACTAACAAAACAACAGAAAATTAATTGCTATCATTTTAATAAAGGTAATAGGAACCAGGGTCATATTTTGTAATTTATTATGATATTCTGAGTTTGGGAAAAACCCATTCATGGAATTTTTTTTTAAAGGTGTAAAATTTGAGGAAGATCCAAACTAAGTTCCTAAGGGAAAAATACAGAAAAAACATGATACAGAAACTATGTGAATATCAAAGTTATGCCAATGACCCAAGTTACTGAACAGTGAGGATCATTACTTACGGAGTCATTACACTCACTAAAATAATTCTAGAGTAAAAGTAATGTGAAACAGAAAAGCCAGCATCACCACAATATGATTTATTCTCCATTAAAAGCCCAAAGATGCTGATCTTCAATTATGTGGATAATCACGTTTAGTTACAAAATCAAATTTGAGTTAATTATGGAAAATCAAACTCTACCTACGTGTATTTTGCAAGATAATGCTTAAAATTGATATATATATATAAACAGGTACAAAAGAAATCAGATTTCCAAACTAAAACCCTGAAATTAGGCAACCACAATACATTTGGACAGAGTTACAAAGCTTAATATGGGGCTTCATAAGCATGACATGTGAGTATATGCCACCATGATTTGGAAAAGTGAATTAAAACTTGAAAAAATAAAATGAAAAAGAATAGCTTTATCAAATTAACAAAGAAGGCTAACTTAATACATCATCTGAAGCCAGCTTATTGAATCAGTAAAGCACTTGGGTTGGTAATTTGAATTCACTTTATCAAAAAATATCATCATTTATTAAAACAACATGACTTAAAAGTCCTGAAACATCTCATTCCTCATCTATGCCTGTCACCACCTTTAGAATTTAGGCCAAAGGTTGCGTTCAGGTGATAAGCTACTACATAGTTTTTAGTATATTCACATATCTCAATTCTGGCTGATAAAAAAGCACCCCCAGGGCCCTCCAGAGACCATCTCCTAGCTCTGCTAGAATCCTGTACTCCCAAAATCCAGCATCTGGAGTGAATGCCAGAAGCAGAGGAAACCTGCAGACCCTGCCCAGTCACTGACATTATCTTGTTTAACGATTAGTCTTGTTTTATGATTATCTTGTTTTATGATTAGTACATTGAATAATTTTAGAGTTATCACTGAGGAGGCCTGTTCTTCATTTAAAATATTTTTCCCATGAAGCTGTTGTGTATTAAACTATGTGTGAGCTATTCATATTTATTATTATACTCTAATTTGGTGGATTTTTTTTTAAGTCTCCATTAGTAGATTTCTGGTGGAAATATCTTTTAAGCAGGTAGTCAGTGTTCTGTATATTTAGGAGAAACTGGAGGGGTGTGAACATATTGGACAGATATAGAGCAAATGTATAATAAACCTAACTTATTTCATTCAGATATTTCATTCAGATATAGAGCAAATGTATAGTTCACCTAACTTATTTCACTATTTTTATTGCTATTATGCATAAAGTCTTGAAAGGTGTATCATACTTTTGAGATTATAATTCAAAGGAAAAGGAGTCTTCTGAAGATTTCTAAATAGAGAAAGCAATATAAGATATAATTAATCATTTTTAAAAAATCTTCGGTGCATTAACTTTGAATTAAAGGGCAAAAAAAAAAGAAAACACAAAACACCATGCTAATAAATAAACCAGTCAAGCCAAATAAAAAGGATAGATTTTATCACAAGAAATATGTATAAAATATGTAGCATAACAATGAAAAATAATCTTTATTTGTCATGATCAATATCTTTTCCGTAGTCCCCAGCTTATCAAATACATTGAAGTGATTGTGTAACTCGACATTTTTTCAACAGAGTGTTTATAATAGCTAGGATAATTATTTGATGTTTCTATTTTGAAATTTTATTTTATTTTCTGTTTAATTATTTTGCGACATGTATGACATTGAATTCCTAATAGGGATGTGTGACAGTAATTCATCTATTTAGTTTGCAAAGCCTGCTTGAATTGCAAAGTTCAAATTTTAGTAGACCAGATTGCTCTGTTAGAGGGTGGAAAGAACTCTTTCAACCTGTAGAATTCAGTAGTTTTGAAAAAGTTGGTAAGCATATATACTGATAGAATTCTTATTTTTAAAATTCATTTTGTAAGATTATACATTAAATACTTTTAAAAATAACTGCTCACTAAATCAAATATTACAGAATGTGTAAATAATAGCAATAAAATATATTTTAGGATTTTACTTTATGTTAAACACATCATAATCACTAAGCTTTCAGGTGTATTGTGTGTCTGAGAAGAAGAATAAGTCATAATGGTGTAATTTAGTTCATAAAGGGGCCTGTGATTTTAAAGCAGTAAAAAAAAAAAAAAAATAGACTTTCCTATTCCGAAAGAACACATTCCCCTAAACTTTTAGAAGCCAAATATTTGGGGAAGTAAACCTCAGTACTGAAGGATATCCTGTACCCTAAAAGGTGGAAAGAGTTGATACAAAATGTGTATTTATGTAAGTCAGTTTTTTATCACTCTAATGGAATAAAACATTTCTCTTAACTCAAATTAGGAAATTATTATACATTTTATATATATTTATATAAAAAGTCATAAGTAGCAAGCATATGACATAAAGAAATGGAAGAGTAACAACAGTATTTGACAATGCATGCTTTTTACAATGTGTCTAACAAAAAGGATATTTTCCCAGCTCAAATATCCAGTACTGACATGCAGGGTGTTTTCTCAAACTGTCAATTTGGTCATATTGCTAAGTGCTTAATCAAAAACATTTCTACTGTAGAGTATGAATGGTAAAATACCTGATTTCAAAAAGGATTTCTGAAACTCAGTACCTTCTTAATATAAACAAAAAGGAAAAACCGGGGATATATAGGAAAGACCAAAAAATGAAATTTTTTATTGCAATCTAGTAATTTTACTCGTTACTTTTTGCTGCATTTAATCAGAATATCATAATAGGTGTGTATAGTCCATAACCTCTAGCTGGTGATTCCATGGTCCACAGTCACTTTTCACTGTAGCATGTTCAAAACCATTCAGGAACGCACTATTCTCAAGCAGTCTATATAATGAAAACAATGTACATGTAACACAAGGTTCATCCAAATTTGTGTTTTTTTCCCACATATCACACAATGTACAATTATATAACAAAGACATAAAACAACATAGAAACAAAAGTGAAACTGACAATAAAAATAAAGTTGGGATAGTCTTAATCGGGAACTAATTTCTTCTTCAAGTTTCCAGTAAATCTCAAAATGTATTTAAAAACTAAGGAGCACTTGGTGGCCAGCAACCAAATTACGAAATGAACATATCATTGTGCAGCGGGGATGTCTTGCCGAAGGAATAACAAATGTCTGTAATTCTTAAGTTTGGATAAAGGCAGTGGAATGAATTTAGAAATATGTCCACTTTTCACAATTCACTATAGAATTTTCTTTTCACAGTCCCCATGTTTGTATAAATAGTTCTTCTCTGAAAATAAAAAACAGTTAAAACATTTTCTCCCAATGAAAAATGCATACAAATACACCAATTTATTAAGGTAATATAGAGCATGGAAATGCATTCACCTAGTTCAAGAATAGTTGATAGGCTTGAGGAGTTTAGAAGAGATTAGCTGTCAAGCAAATTCAATTGGAGACAAATTAGGCTAATATAGATATAGACTATCAAGTGCAAAAAGTAAAGCCATTGTGATATCTGATGACAAAATCGATGTACACATGGACAATTGGTGTTAATGAAACCTTTTGCATCCAAATTTTATAGTATAAAATTTGACATAACATGCTGCATTTAATTTTGATGAGATGAGCTACATATTCATGCAAAAAAAGAGTGCATAAATTGTGTAAGTACCAAAAATATTTAGTGTATAAATTTAGAGTAGAATGTTGCCAAATTACATAAAGAAAGTAGTTACCAGTTTTAAATATTAACTTCAGCTATACTGAGACTGAATACTCTATTCTATTTTCTTAGTTTGAAAACCTTGGGTTTCTTCTAGTATTTCTTTGGAGAAAGTTCCTCAATGGTAGTATCTTTACCTTAAAACATGTAAAATGTAGATTATTAATTTGATATCTTTCTAAATTATATTTCAGTACAATGCCTGATGGTAAGAAAACTGACATTTGTTTTAAAGGTATGTATCTTGAGAATCATCTCTCCTATAAACACTGAACCTATCGTATTTCTAATAATGAAATGTCATGAAACACATATCTCAAGAAATAATGGATAAATAGCACATTCCCTAAAAAAACTACAAGACAGTTGTAACAAAACAGAATACGACAAAGTAGGAGAAGGAACCAAGGGCATTTGCTTACCTTGAATTGTCTTTTTAGACCCTAGTTGTGTTGTATTCAGATTCATGTTTGCTTAGAGACCCAATGAGGCAGAACCTGGAATGTTATGGCTATTTCACTCAACAAAGTACTATTTGCACAAAAAATATATGTATACAAATATTTACTTAAAAGCATTTTTAAAATTCAGAAAACTGTGGAAATAGACTTACGTCAGCATGCAAAACACATCAAATCAACTAAAGTATTTTAGGTTTTAAGGATGTGTAATGAATGGAGAAAGTATGTCACAATATATAAAATAAACTAAATGCTAGTAAACATGCAAAAACAAAATATAAGTTGATTCTGAATTTAAAATAATATTTCCTAAATTAAAATTTTTTTACTCAAAACTTTCACTCATTTTAAGGCTAATATTACAACACAGAAAATATTGTATTTATAGTAAAAGGAAAATAAATCAAATATTTCGACTATTTCTCACAATATTTAGGTGTAAAAGATGAGTATATCATACTATGCTATGCAATTCCTAATATAAATATTATGTAACATTTGAAAGAAAAGAATTTTTGTGTTTCTACCAAAAATAAATACATTATATTGAAAAATATGTTATTTTGGGATTAAAATTGTTTATCAAGATGGGTGAGCCATCTTGGTAAGGCAATTGCTTCCAAATATCATTTCATATCTCAAAATATATAAATATTGATGAGAGCAACATTAGTGATCACATGGAAGCAAGTGTACAATATAAATCTGTATTATAAATTAAAAGCCATAATTTAATAAATGTGTATATGTTTAGAAATAAAGTATCTTTGGTCTCTGTGTACATGTGTGTTCACACAAATATACATACCATGCACATATATATGAGGTTTAGGAAGAATATGGATAGCAGTAAGGAAAAAAGAAGAGGAAAATATTGGAAAACTATGGTTTAAATCATTAATTAAAGGGAAACTGAAATATGAAGACAAAAGAGAAGACAACATTCTGGAAGCATTTCAGTCCTCAGGTTATAGTTGTCATCAAAAAATCGATTGATACTGACCGCTGGACGGCTTTATCGTGTCTGGACAGCCTGTGACTGGTGGTCGGCACCTCTTCGATTTCATCTATGTCACAGGCATCTGCAGCATCTTGCGAGTAGTTGTGTTTCATGACGAGGATATTTCTTCTGTTCATGGGTGGGATGAGGGGTTTTCCTGGCTGTGTGGGCATCTCTGTCAAGATAGAAGCATCTCTTGTGCTGAGGTTACTGCGGCTGCCTTTAGTGCTGGACAGCTGTGATCCACAGTGATGGTCATGAATGCATTTGGAAGATGACCTCCGCAGTTTATGGTAATTTTCAAAGTCATCTGCCACATCGGCAAAGTCAGCTGTAGCTCCCGTCCCTCTGAGAGTACATAACTCATAATGAGGAGGTTCAAATACCTCCTGGAAAACTGTCTGGTCAAAGTCTGATTTCCTTTGGACATATTTTTTTCGAGGCTGTTTGATCTGTACAATGACAGAGATGATAATGAGGATGATCACGATGCAGGAAGTCACGCCAATGACAGTCCCACTGGTGTTGGTCAGCTGGTCCAGCAGGCTGGTTTTCCTCTTCTCTGTAGGTTGGAGAGAGTGAAAACAACAAACGGACAAAACAAGAAGCAACACATCAAACATTAACATGACAGTCAAAATGTGTATTAAAAACGTAAAACAAGCTGAGCACATAATTTTTACAGGCTTGTCATAGCTTAAGAAAATATTTGAAATTAAACGCAGGGTCTCATTTTTCACAAAAAAAAAATCCACTGACCAGCCTTACAAATAGTTCCCTCCATCCAGTGCTCAGCATTTCAGCTTAAAACACACACACACACACACACACACACACACACACACACACAATCAATCAATCTATGAAATAACAACAATATTCTGATGCAAAGGATAATTCAATTCAATCTGAAGACACACACTTTTGGAACGATGGCATGGACTTTTTCCCAAATGAAATAATCACAATTGGTAAATAAATTATTTTAAAAACTCAACCAATTAAAGCCTGGTTTAATGAAACTCAGGAAATTGTCCAAATGATGTACATCAAGTGGAAATAAATTTATACAAATCAATCTATTAAATGTCCTTAGGAACAGTGAGAGTCTGTGGCATTTGAGCCTTGACTTGCTTCCTCCACTCTTGATTCACCATGATGGGAGCCCTATCCAGGGAGCTATGGATAAGAATACAGGGCACCCTCTCTCTGCCACTCCCAGTTAAGGGAGTTATGGCATCTCTTCAGGAGGGCTATTTAATAAGCTACCATTATTTCTCAGTGCTCAACCAGATCCATGTTGGATATGCTCTTTTCCAGCCTGAGTGGCTGAGATGTATGGGGTTCCCAAGGTTCCTCCTCTCAGCCTCCACTTGGAGGGCAGGAGCTCAACACCAGGTGTCTCGAGTGGAGAATGCCAGGACTGGATCATGCTTACCCAAGTTCACTGATACAGAAGAACTGCTGGAGTGGCAAGCTGACAAGACTACATGGTAGCAACCATATCCAAGAGCTCTGCGCAGAGCTGCATAAACAGACCTGCACCTCTATTCCTGCCCCCATCCAGAACACTAGTGGTGAAGTTGTGCCCAGAAACAGAGTCAGGCTACAAGTACAGAAAACATTAGAGCTTCCCCTAAATAAAGTTAATTTGAAATGGTGTGTGGAGAAGCTCAAGCCTAAAGATAATTTCAAAAACTATGGAGATGTTTTGGTACGCAATTAAAAGGCAGTTAGTGCATTAAGAGCAATAAGACAAACCTTAGAACATCTAGAAGTTTAACAGAACAAGCTAGGAGAGTAACAGCTAATGAGAGTCCTCCTGGGTTATAACAACTCACAAAGGCTAGACTCAAGTATTACCTTTGCGATTAATTAAATTTAATTGACCAGACTGTAAAACAATTTATGATCTTGGGCATTGCTGAAATCAGTAGAACCATCAGTCGGCAATCGATGGAGACTAACAACTGGCTGCAATACCAACAGAGGTGATAGCTAAATAGAGAGAACAGGAAATGAGGCCCAGAGAGCCCTGCTAAAACCATGCTGCCCAAGGGTGATAGTGCAAAGCTCAAGGCAGTGGCCTCTGTGGTGCAACATTAGAAACTTCACTGAAATGGTCCAGCCAAGTCTACATTTAGAACAAACAAGAAAACTACAGACTGAGTATCCAAAGATGCTACAAATATAACACGTGATTTTCAACAAATCATAGTAAGGCATGTAAAGAAACAGGAAAGTGAAGTGTATAAATAGGGGGGAAAAACAGGCAATGAAAGGACCCTTGGGGGAGCCAGATATCAGAGGTAGCAGACAAAGACTTCCAAGCAGCTATAATCAACATATCTAAGGAACTATGATTGAAGAAGCTAACGAAGATGCTCATCAAATAGAAAATATTAATAAAGAAATATAAATCATACAAAAATGGAAAGTCTGGAATTGAACAGTGCAATTACTAATATGATAATATTCTGGAGCCTCAACAGTGCATTTCAGCTGGAAGAAGAAAGTGTCAGCTCACTTTATAAAGATAGAGGAATGAGAATAGTGCAATAGGAAAATGAGTTTAAGACAAGAATGCAGAACTATAACAGAGCCTCAGAAAAAAGAAATGTGGCAAATCGACAAATCGACAAGCACACTAACATAATGTAATGGGAGTATACGAAACAAAGTGAGATGGAAAGTAACAGGAACAACAACAGCAACAACGACAACAACGCAAGCCAGAAGAGCTAAAGCTTCCCAAACTTAATTAGAAAACTCACATTCCAACTTCAACAAACCCCAAGCAAGAGAAATGCAAAGGTATCCACGCAAAGACATATGACTCTAAAAATGTTTTTTAAAAAAATCTTGAAAGCAACAGAGAAAAAAAAGAAAAGAAAAGAAAACAAAACAAAACACCTCATCATAGAAAGAAGCCCCAGTTAGATTAACAGCCGAGTTATCCTCAGTGGAGGCCAGAAAGCAACAGGATGACACATTCAGTGCTGAAGCAAAAGCAAAGCAAAACAAAATCAAACAACAACTAACAAAAAACGCAACAGAAACCTGTCAACCCAGAACCCACTATCCAGCAAACCTACCGTCAAAAATGAAATAGACATTTTAAGAGAGACAAAAATGAAGATAATTCAAAGATAATAGAGTTTCCTTAAAATAAATACTGAAGAGAGTTCATATTGAATACAAGTGACCTCAGACAGTAACTCAAATCCATATGAAAAACTTGAACAACTAATAAATTAAACAGGAAAGTAAATATGGTCTACAACAGTGCTTATGAAAAGAATTGCAAAGGACAGTCGAGGGGCATCTTTCTTCTGCAGTCTTCACTTAACTTTTTTTTAAAAAGCAATGTTCTGTGTATATAATCATAAGGGTGGACTATAACTTACGTAAGTGCAATATACATAGTGACACTATGGTATAAACAAGGTGGGAGCAAAACTGTTACTGGGTAAGGAAATGACAGCAGGGTAATAAAAATCTGCATAAACAAATGAAAACCAGAAACAGTAAATAAGAAGGATAGTATGAAACAATTACACTAACATATACTTGCTGTCCTTTCTTTTCCCAACCACTCTAAAAGACAGTTGTATAAAGTAATAATTATTGCAATGTATTTTTTGTTGGGTTTGTAATATTTAAAATGTAATATGTACAAATATAATTGGAAAAAGAGAGAATAGAACTATATAGGAAAAATGTTTCCATTCTCACTTTAATCAAGTTAGTATAAATCTAAAATACATTATGAGAAGTTAAGTCATATGTTATAAGTCCTAAAGCAACTAAGAAAGTAAGTAAAAACAAATTCATTAACAATTGTAAAAGAATTAAAATATTGCAGTAGAATATACTAACTTAATGTAAAAGAAAGCAATAAAGAAAGAAAACAGAAAAAAAAATACATGAGACATTTAGAAACAAAAAGGATAATGGAATAGGTAAGTCCAACTACATCAAAGATAATACTAAATGTGAATATATAAAACAACCCAATGAAAAGGCAGAGATTCTTAGACCGGATAAAAGATAAGAGACAAATATGCACGGTCTACAGAAGAAACACCTTACAGTCACACATACAGATAGTCTGAAAGTAAAAGGGTGGAAAAGAATGGAACGCAAATCGTAAGAAAGGTGGAGTAGCTATACTAATGTTAGGCAAAATAAAACTTAAGAAAAAAATTGCGCTAAATCTACAAGATTGTTTTTTAGTGAAAAAAAGGTCATGAGGAAGATATAACAATTACACACATAGATGAGTTTAGCGACCAAGCTTGAAATCACATGAAATAAAAATTTTACAGAAGTGAAGAAAGTAGTAGACAATTCAACGATGGTAGCTGAAGCATTTAATACATACTTTCAATAACGCATAAAACACAGCAGAGAATCAAAAGGCAAACAGAAGGTTTGAACAATGCTGTAAACCTAATGTACACAACAGGCATCTACAGAACACACTATCCAACAATAGCAAATACGTATTCTTTTCAAGGGTACATGGAACAAAGTTTAGGCTGCACCACATGCTTGTCATTGATATAACCTCCATAAATTAGAAATGACTACAATAATAAAAAATTTTTCTCCTATCACAGGAAAATGAATTAAAAGTTAGAAGAATCATTTTTCTTTCTGAAAAAAAATATGGCGTTTCATAATGCACATCCACTCATATTTGTTGATTGTCATCACATGTCAAATATTTCTTACATATATGGAAACAAATTTACAGAGGACAAAGAAAGCCAATGGTGACTACTAATTATTAACAGGTATGCAATAAGATTACTCAGAAAGTAATTTCTAATCCATTCAGAAGTAGACATGAAAGTAATCAAAAACATCCCAACATCAAAATAGTTGATAGTGTAACTGTCTTTCTTACTGACTGTATGAAACATTGAATACTGTGGTATTATTTTTCTACTTCTTTGCACAGAAGGTGTTTTAGTAGATAATACTGGACCTAAGCATGAAAGAGTTATTTGCCTATCTTCTTTTGCCAATTGTTTAATATTGGATCTCAGTAAAAGGCTTTAACATGGCAGTTTAATCTTAACTAAAACATGCAATATCCATCATCTAGCCAAGGATCCCTGTCTACATAAACAAGCATTTATGTACAGACAAGGGAGGGAGGCAAGGGCACTGGAAGCTATATTAACTGGAAAGAAGAGCATTTTCATAGCAAAACTGAAGCGGAGTGAAGTAGCTGGAAGTATTTGAAAGTACAAATGCTCCTTCGATATATTTTATCTCTACAATATGTACATAAAGTCCAATGAAGTCAAACTGGAATGAATGAGAGGTGCAACCAAAAACAGATGGTATCACAAGTGAGAGGAAAGTAGTGTGCTCCCCTGAAAGCTCCCGTTTTCTTTTCATAGCTTTACAGGCTCTAATCAGGCAATGTCTTTAATGAGAATTCAAGTGCTAAGGATAGTCCATGAATAAAGAAACATCTGAACACAACATGAGTAAAGGCTAAGAAAAATGCTTCCAAATTGATTATAAGACATATGCAGAGCTCATAAAAGGCACTAGATACTCTTAAAGACTGTATGATGTATATAAACTTCTACCTCACTCCACAGGGAGGAAATGTTTTCAAATTTCAGGGACTCATCATTACCTTTACAGTGATTTTCATCCCAAGGATACACACAGTTTTGGAGTCCATTGCAGACCAAAGTATTATTAATACACATGTTACTATGGCAGAAGAATGTATTTCCTTCACAAGGAGCTAAAAACAAGAACAAGACAAAGGAAGAAAGTTATAACTGTTCAGTGCTAAATCACTCATATTACACATCTAGAAATAAAAAGATTAGACTGATAATTTGCCACAAACTGAGATAAATGATCTGCCATGGGATTTCAAAATGGTGTGGTAGTGGTAATTATTTCTTGTGTTACTAAAAGTGCTGGCATTCCTCTAGAGAGACTCAGTTTAAAAAACTGCCGTAGAGTATCATATTTTCCAACACTAAAATGAGGTACAATATCCACGTTTTTTAAGTAGGCATATTTATTTAGCAAACCTGAAGTATCTACCACGTGCATAAATTATACTTCATACAGAAATTAAGGCTGTATACATGTAGCTTTATTGTGCAAAAACACTTAATTGAAATATTAAAATAATTTTGAAAAATATATGCTTAACCAAACGCTAACGAAATACGCCAATGCAAACCCCGTGACATTACTTAAGAATAGAAAAATGCCATGGAAATTGAAAATCATCAAAAAATTAATCCTGAACATAAAAAGCTATGCTTAACACATTTAATATACATATGGTGATAAAATTAGCTTACTATCCATGTATTTCAGACATTCTAGTGATGTGATGTACAATGATCATCATCTCCAGATTACAAGGCACAGTGAGGGGACTGGGAGGTGAAATAAGAATTTCAAGGTATAAAATATGGCAAAATAATAATGAGAAAAATGTGAGTTTAATATAGCAATGTAAAATGTTAGGTATGATTTCAATATTAGGAAAAATGCATTTGTTTCTTTACTACAGTGACAGAATAGTTTAAGTGATCAGTCTCTACAGCAATATTGCATTGTGGATTACGGCGTACAGAAAGTGCTCTTAAAGCTAACTTGTTTTTACCTTTGTATTCACTTCACATATCAGATAAAATGCAATTTGAGTGTTTCTTTTTTCAACAATGGGTCTACAATCCTTTTAAGGATAGGCATTCTAGCAAAATCTGCACACGAAACTCATTAACTTTCAGTAAGTAGTCGATGAAGATTTATTAATAATCAGTAATATTTAGCCACTGCAGTCATGTTATAATGAGTTTTTTTTCACTTTCAAAACTGTATACCACAAACGTTTTAGAAAGTTAGCTTCTTTACTAATCAAAACTATCAAAACAGTACTTTGCAACTTGATATACTTAAGGCAACTTTCTATATTTTAATACTCCCAGAGAAAATCTTAAAAAAAAAAAAACACTCAAATTCTGAAATCGAGAAGTAAGACAAACACATAACTAATTCAAGCAAAGTGATTCTTCCTGGTTCTTCATCCCTACCTCCTCCTCAACCCAAAAGAGTTTCCTCTTTGTTCATTTCGACTTCACCTTCCTGGTTAAAGAGTAAAAAGTATGTAACAGTAATTTTGAAAATTGAAAATTAGAGTAGAAAACATGTAGCAGTCATTTTGGAAAAAAAGTATCATACTCAAAATTTTATTGTGCTACTGACTTGTTAAGTACTGTTCTGCATAAACCTTTCACAAGGTAAAATTTAATAATCCAATATATTATTGCAAAGACCTGCTGCTTAGTAATCAATTAAATTTGAATTTCTGTAGCCTATCGTAATGGCTTTTGCAGAACTGATAAAGTCTGTTAAGCAGATAGTGAATGTGGTCAAAATTTGCACACTGTGTATAAAGGAGATTTTTGCAAATTTTATATTAGAATGGCTGCAAAACGCTTTTGTAAAAATGCTTAAAATACTTATTACCTAATAAATTGCAGTAGTTTTGAAAGTACAATTACCCACCAAGTGAGAAATACCATTAAAAAGAAGATAAATATTTACTGACCTTCTATAATGAGTAGGAAAAATTATTACAATTATTATTCAATAGGATGGGATAGTTTAAAAATTTAAACAAAATAAAAATAACATTGCATTCTGGTGAGTGAAGTGCAATATCATGTTGGTAAGAGCACTGAAATTTGAATTCCAAATAATCCAAATGTGATTGTGTTTATTTCTGCTGCTTAGTAGTTGTGAAACTATCAATGTTCAGGATCCATTATTAAATATTAATGGTTTTATCAAGAATGCAATAGATAACCTAGGGATGTCAATAAATCAAATTTTAACATGCTTTCTTGCATTAAATAATTATGCAAATATGCCAGTTAATTAGGAGTTAGCCTCTCTTTTGTTTATGGTGTTTTCTGCGGGTTTTTTTTTTTTTTTTTTTTTTTTGGTATTATTCAAGGTATTTCTCTATGCATTTTCTTCCCTACTTTTGCTAATAGTTACAGAATTGCTGTGGAAAGGAAAAATAAAAACAAGCAAATCCTGACATGGTTAAGAAGCAATGTATAGGCCGGGTGTGGTGGCTCACACCTGTAATCTCAGCACTTTGGGAGGCTGAAGTGGGTTTATCACCTGAGGCCAGGAGTTTAGGACCATCTTGGCCAACATGGTGAAACCTGTCTGTACTAAAAATATAGAAATTAGCTGGGCATGGTGGCGCACAACTGTAATTCCAGCTACTCGGAAGGCTGAGGAAAGAGAATCACTTGAACCTGGGAGGCGGAGGTTGCAGTAAGCCAGAAATTGTGCCACTGCACTCCAGCCTGGGTGACAGAGTAAGACCCTGTCTCAAAAAAAAAGAAAAAAGAAAAAAAAAAAAGAAAGAAAGAAAAAAGTAGCAATGTGTAAAATTTTACCTACCCTGGACAAAAATAAATTTTGTTTTATAGACATCCAAAATTTAGCATTATATTGGGGCTCTGAGTTTCCTCTATATTGTTTGTCTAATTATTTCTCTCATATATGCCATCATACATTAAAGATTCTCATTTACCTTCTGGTTAAGAACTACAATGGCACTGCCTGCAGACCAGATCAAGCCTACGTTTGTATTGCTCTTTCAAAGACTCAATGCACTCAGTGCACCAGCACCTGTAGCCACTGCTCCCAGCACACTCCTGACATCTCCAGCACCACGTCCACACACCACTCCCTCCTTCTACCTGCCCCAGATACCCCGTCTCAGTTCTGCCATACAAATCACATCAAAACTCTATTATTCGTACAGTCTTAAAATATTACTCCAACCTGCCAGAAAACTTAGCCGTTCCTTAAATCCCATTTCATGTGTAATGTTTAAGTTTTAACAGCGTATGTTTGTCTTTTTTGCATACATTTGTTCGAGGCTTGTGACCATGCTTTGTTTAAAAAAAGAAAAGAAAAGAACGTTATGTTTAACTTCTCACAATGGCTTAGGCTTACTCAGCTTGTAGTAAATATTCAATAGATATTTTAAATTGATTGATATTACTTACCAAAAGGTTAACTCTGACTGGGCCACATACCTCAGTATTCCAGAGAGCGGAAGACTCTAATAACTGTTTATTGGTGGATAACTCACCTGCAAAGCTGCGGTCTTCCAGTACGGCATGGAGTGATTATGGGCGGCATGTATTCTCAGAAACTAAACCTCAGTACCGGGTCTTTTTCTTTTACTATTTCTGACAAAGCACATATTCCACAACCAATTTACAGATGACTTATTCTATGTATGAGACTCAACGTTCATCATTAAAGCTACTCTCTCTTATGGACCAATTGCCTTATTTTCTAGTGATCTAAAGGAAACTCAAGATTTATTTATTATAAAGTGGCAGGCAAAGAAGTCACACTCCAAATGGTAAGTACCTCACACAGTTTCCAGAGTCACAAAAGTGAACACACAACTTTATACTTGTTTCTATCAGAATAGCAAATAGAGACTCATATTGATGTTAGAACACTAAGAACATAGATGAAACAATATGCCATTGCTTTTTGTCACTATTTGAAAGTGTGTTTAGACATGAGACCCTCCAACTAATGTGATTTCACTTTATTGGGTTTATTGACATCACCATTTTATCATCCGGATCTAACAATCAAAAGATGGAAACTGATTTATGTTTATGAAGTAAAAGATTCTAGTCAGCCAAAATCATGTCATATGTATAAGCACATCATTGCTCTTGATTTAAAGCACTCACATAGAAAGTAGACACTACAACACTTCAAAATGAATCTTTCTTCACTGTTTCCTCCTCCTGCATACACCAATACATATGCATTTGTGCAAAGCGTTCATTTTTGGCTATGCAATAGACTGTAGATTAAACAAAGCTGAGAGAGGACTTCTCCAGACACATCAGTCTGGGACTGAGGAGTCCTGCCAACAGGACAGAGGGCTGAGCTGTGATTTGGGCTGTTAGGAATGATAATCCTTAAGGGCAGATTGCTTCCTCTGTAAGCAAAAGTTTATAAGAGAGGGTAGACCAGTAGATCACAGTGATTAAGTCCCTTGCAGCCTGGCCACTAGGTCTCCAAATCCAACGGTTGCCTCTTTCATGCTCTTTGTCCTTGAGCTGATTAACCTGTCAGCTACTCAGTTACCACATCTGCATAATGGAGATAAAGATATACTTACCCAAGCAATTTAATTATGCATGGAATGCATTATAGTGTCAGCGGTCTGGTTGCAAACATTACGAGATAGAATTTCCATCCGTTTTAGGAGTATTGGGCAGAGGCTGTGAAGTCAATACGTCTGATTTTCAAATGTGAGTTATGTCATCTTGAGCAAATTCACTACCTTTTTCAGTTTCTGTCTATATCTATATAATGGGGATAATTATAACTATTACATAAAATTGTAAGAATTAAATGTGATAAAGCTTTAAAAACCCTAACAGATACTATCATATGGTGTATGACACATGAATGTTGTCTGTTCTTGAATTACTACCATAGTTACCAAAACAAAAGCAAGTGAAATAAACACAATCTTAAGATGATATAAAAGTGACTTAATTGATATTAAATTTTTAGTTTGTAAAGTGAAGAAAGTCATTCGCGGATCCCTTGTTAACACTATATCGGAATGCATATTTCAAAGTCACATCGAGGACTTTTCTGAAACTAAGACCTCCTAGCTGCCTTATATGAGAATATATGCCTTTGCTA